GCTAGCATATTGTAGGTTCTCTCGATGAAATCGAAGACGAAGGGAATATATGTATTAATGGTAAATATTTTTCTATATCTATTTTTTTCTATATGTAGGTAATTTTCGCCTGTTTAGCGCACTGCTCCTTCCTCTTCGGACAGGTTTAAAAATAGAAACTCAACTCATTATATTGTTTATCTGAACTGTTTGTCTGCTTTAATAATAAAAAAAACATAAGATGCAGTTCCAACATCAAAAATCTTCCGAAATAACGCCGATTCTGTTTTATATTCTTATCATATTACTAAAGTTTTAAACAATAGCAATATGGATACACAAAATAATGGGTTACGATTCAAGTCTTTTAACTCTTTAACTCGAACGTATGGGAGTAGACGCCACAAATAATTGACATTCTCTGTATAATTTTTTTTCTACGTTATCCAATAGCTAATTAAAAATTCGACCAACTGCAAGTTATTATACCCATATATATTCTATGTCACCATGAACAATACCCAAAAAACGCCTACATTGCTGAGGAAAGTTATGACCAAATTTAAACTTTCTTCTTGTGCCATTAGAATCTCTGAATTTAGCGCAACCAACATTAAATTTTTTTCACTTTCCTGGAAAAAAATATAACATTCCAAAAATTTGAAATTTCCTCCAGTTCCCAACTAAATTCAAACGTATGTAAATCATAAGATTAAATTTTGCTCTATTTTGCGCAATCAATTTAACAAATATAATTATATACGTATATACATAATATATATACTTCCAGGTGACATATTTACTCGCATTTCCATACGATTTGGAGACAGTGTATTTTTTCACTTCATCATTAATTCCAAATTCAATCCAAATCCAATCGGTGTAATTTAATTTTTGTCTGATTAAGCACAGGACGAAACAATAATAATAAAATTGATGATTGATATGATATAATTTGAATTCGTTATTTTAACTAAAATTTTGAATTTAGATCATAACTTTCCCCAGGATAGTCCGGAAATTAAATTGGCAGAGCAAAATTGGACAAAATTCAAAAAATGTGGAAGAGCGGAAGACGCTCTTTTGCCGATAGGGGAGAGACAAGAACACCATGTTTATCCTCATTACAAAGATAACAGAGTAAAGGCTATGAAACATAATTAAAATAATTAATAAATTTTTAACTTTTTGCCAAACTTGCGTGTACGTTTATGTCGGTCTGCAAATACAGAATCCGCACAGTTTCTCTTCAAGAAGCAATTCGTATAAGAGCAAATAGAAATCTAATCGATATTAAATCCCGCGCGTATAGAATTACGAAGCACTAATTTCCGTGCAAATATTTACTCCCGTCGAAAAATAGCAAAAACATCCGCGATAACTCGTTATCCTTCCAAAGCAATAAAGTAAAAAGGTTTAAGTGGTATTACTCGTAAAAGATTTTACGAACCATCAACTTTTAGCGTAAATCTGATTATCTTTCCCCTTATTGCCATGGATAACACCTCGTCATCGTAGGATTGTTTGGTTTTGTTGTTTTATTAAGTGCCGAAAGTGTCACGGTTTATTCCAAAACTGGTAAGAGTTTAACTCTTAACTGCTGGCTCTGTCCATTAAAACCAACTAAAACAAGAAACCGGTTCGCGGTTTCTTATGCTGGAACTTCCGCAGAATCGATGCATTTTTTTGTGCATACACCCTGTATAAAGTGACTTTCATGCCTCGCCGAACTTCAGAGTCACCGCAAACTTTGATAAATGTAATAATTTGCACAAATAATAGCGATTGCAAATGATATTTTTTCAAATATCTCGCGCACCTCGTTTGATAGACGAAACCTGAAGCTCTCTCCCGATACAATTTTCGAGACTGTTTAAACTAGATTATTCTATGTTTCGTAGTATATCATTTACAATAATTCACCCACGAAAACGGCAAAGATCTTTTTGTTTTTTTTTTCCATAATCGACACACCCTGTACACAATAAAAAAATGTCCAAGAAACCAGGCAGTCCACCGTAATATTAAATGACGTCATCGTGTCTAGATTGAGTGCAGATATATCATTCTTTTTTCAAATATCACGAGCAGCGTATATGATAGACGAAAACTTCAAATACAAAAATTGTAGCTCTTGATGCGGCCTATGACACTGTCTGAACCGATTAACCATATTTTTTACGATTTTTGATTTGCTCTGGAAAAGAACTGGGTCTTTTAAATGTTTGTGTATATTTGAAAAACCCTGCATATAATCGAAAAAATGCCTGAAATAAATGTTATAGCCCTGGATCTTCCGCGACTGCTGGTTAAAGCATTTTGCCGTTCTTGTGAATAGTTATGGAGAAACGCATGTTTTTCCGGGAGCCAAAATAACAAAAAAAATCTTTTTTTTCAAATCCTTGGTGAAACTTGATTGCAACCAATTTCTATTGTTTACCTTGGACCTTTACTTTCCTGCTAAATTTGAAGCCAGTATCTGCAAATTTAGGACACCTAGCATATTTCTTATATAGCACGGAATATCTTCAACACCCTGTACAATAGGTGAAAACCTTAAATACAAAAGGTTTAGCGGTCTATACGGTATATATCGTCATGTAAAGGAAACTAACATCTGAATACAGTCTTTTAATAGCGAATTTAGGGGAAACGATTTTTCAGTTTTTTTTAATATGCTGTCTTTTCGTTGAAGAATTACGCTATTTGCCTGCCAAATTTGAAGTCGATAGTTTCATAAGAATGTCTAAAAAACAGCCGAAAATCGAAAAAAAAAATTATTGACTTATGTGTCTCATGGACTGCTTAAAATTAGCCAAATTGGAAGGCGGTCTGGCAAACTGTTCGAAAATTATAGCCAATTAATGCACTGTCTACGGAGGAGCGGAGAATAGAGAACAGAGAAACGGACAAACAAACAAAAAAATAAAAAAGTACGACGGTACGACGGTGAAATATAAGTTTCGTCGATTTTTTGAAAGTAACAAGAAAAAATTACACATTACCACTTGAAAATATCATTTTTAGTTTCGCAGGAGTTTTAAGGATCTCTGAAAACATCCCAAAATCTTTTGTTGCCCGTTTTAAGTGTAAAAAAATGCTAATTCTTGAGGTTCATTATCACCTTCGAATTAGATACTAGAAAACTACCGGCATGTAAACATAGCGAAGTTTAAGGGGATTTGGAGAAGTTTTAACTATTGCTTTACCGCCTAAACGAAAGACCAACTCGCACAATTATTTATTTGGAAAGTTTAAAACTGATTAAAGTCACGGCATTTGTCGCGCATGATAATTTCACCCGAGCTTTCGTCAAAGTCCGCTGTTTGCAATAAAAGTTTCTCGGAACGTGACTCGAACAATATGTCAAAGGATTTAGAAATTCGGACAAAGAGCTTTTCAAATGCGCACTCTAAATTAAAGTCGTTATAAGTTGATAACAGATACCGGTATCTTTATTAAATTGAAAACTAAATTTTATGGCAGATGTAACTAGTTGGTAATCATTTATCTGTATACAATATGTTAGCATAGCTTAAATTGTTCATTTTTGTGTTCACGAAATGTATTTTGATCATTAATTGGCAAATTTCAGACGGAAGATTTTATTTTTTATTTAATTAATAAGAATATTAAACCGTTATTTAATTTTTACTCAAATGCTTAACTATCAGTTTATTGATGTAAACACTTACTTTGCAAGTGTCACAATTAATTACTTCAAAGCAGTTTTTATTTTTTTTTCAAAAGAACCTAGCTGATTTCAACGAAAGAATATTTTGTCACTTACAGATAATTATTAACTACTTAATACTTATACTAGTCAGTACATTAATTAGAAAACCTAAATAATTGTTTCCTCCAGTTGAAGCCAAATATTGTTAACCCTATTCTACCAACGCAAAAGTTATTTGCACAATAAATACATAATAATTTGTTTATAGATTTTCTTCCAATAGAAAATATAAACGGACATTGAAGAAGAAATGGAAACACTGTACACAACACACTTCGTACACTGGGAGGTTATCAGCGATGCATGTGGTATTTATATCCTGCGCCGGAGGTGGTAACGGTGCTGCTTGTGTGGGAGGGGAGACGGCTCCGCCCCCCGAATTGTCGTGTCGTTCTGCAGTTTGATTATCCTTTTCCACATACTGGATAAATGCAGGCCGTCGTCGCTCGTATTTAGATGTCCGGACTTTTCTATCTCGATCGTATAATCCGGTCCTAAACTCAGAAAAGCTAGTTATTTGTTTGCAAGTACTGAAATCAATTTTAGGGCCTGTCTGGTGTTGGTGCTGAAATAAAGCCGATTTTGTTTGTTTATTTCTTATGACCAATCGATGATCCTCGAGCCTGGCTGAAATCCTCCTATTGGTCTGTCTCATTTACATCAAGCTGCACGATCCGCAAGCCACACTATATTCTCCTTGGTTTTCCAAAATATTTTTATTTTGTTTTGGGTTTCTTAATCTTGCTCCAATAGTATAATCAGGTTTGTATACCGTAGATATCTCTTGTTTCCGTAATATCCAGCCGATTCCGTCAGTAACCCCCTTGATGTATGGCAGGAAAGCGATCTCTTTTTTGCTGCTGCTGTTGTTGCTGATGGTGCGCCTTTGGTATCCGTTTTGCCGCAGACAGGTACTAATTTTCTTCCGTTCATCGCCTTTGTTCTTCTCGTTTGTAAGCCTGAAGGATCGAGCGAATAATGTATTTACCACTGCCTGTATCTGGGTTGACTGATAGTCAGACTCAGATATCTACTGGGGTGTGTTGGTTTTCTATAGACAGTGTGTTCCAAGTGTCCTTCTTTGGTCCTTATGATTTGTACATCTAGACAGGGCAAAACTCATAGTTGCAGTCGTTTTGTTGCCTCGTTTCTTATTTTTTCTTTATTTAAACTTTAAAATTTAAATATTATTTTGTTTTTTTTTTAATTTTGAGTAATTATATAAAACCAATATAATTCTTTAGTTTTATTTATTAACAAATGAGTAAACAAACGTTTTATTTTCCTGTATGTATTATACAATGGAATTTATTATTAATAATGAATAGAAAATATAAATTTAAATAAGTTTAATCTGAAGCATATATATTTCATGTAATATCTAAAGAAATAACATTTTCGCAAGATATTCTCAATAATTTATATTGTAATTAGTAATTCCATCTTACCTTACACAAAAAAATTAATGTACGAACAAATTACAAAAAATAAATACAAAAATCTACGTATTTATAACTCAAATTGAGAAAAGTCTAATCAAAGTCCCAGGCCATTTTGTTATAAAGGTGTCAATAAGATTTGTATTTAACTAGTATTTCGCAGTACAATGGGACGCAATTTACGCCTAGTAACTACAGACTGCACGCGTAAACGTCCATTGACCTAAAATTTCACTGGCGTTAACAATTCTTCCCCCTCCAAAGCAAGGAGAATGTTCTTTGCCGTCAATTGCGCCATCGCATTTCGCGTATTCACAGTAGCACTTCCAAGATGCGGAGTCAAGACTGAAAGCGTTTAATGACAAGTTGCATCTATTAATTTTTACGTTTCAACAAACGTACCAACATTAGGTAACTTGAGCAACTCGCTGTCGATAGGAAGAGGTTCCGGTACCATGACGTCCAACCCAACAGCAAAAATTTGACCCTCTTTTAGAGCACCGATCAGTGCTGCCTGATCGACCAGTTGACCGCGACTGACGTTAATCAAAATAGCAGTTCTTCTCATTTTTGAAAAGAATGTGCCGTTGCACATGTTCATAGTCTCATTGGTCAACGGCGCAGATAAGAAAATGAAGTCGCTTTCCTTTGTTAAAACGTCTAAGTCGACGAATTGAGCTCCCAAAGATGCTCCTATAAACAATAAAAGTAAATGTTATTATTTTGTTGTGTTTATTTTGTAGAAATATGAAAATTTTTGCTCCACGATCTCATCCAATATAAAAAATAACGTTTCATGATGCAGAATATTTTCAACACTTTTACAGCATATCTTTATACTTATCTTTAAAGGTGCCACTTTCGCAAAATGAATACTTTACAAACGAAGAAATTTACAGAGAGCTGATTGAGAACAATGAAGAATTTTCCTTTGGTTGTTTTCAAAATATATTTCTAGATAGATATTTTTGAAAACCTCGCATTATTTTCAATCAATCACAATTCTAATTCACTTTTGCTCCATCAGGGTCAATAAAGTTTTTATTATCAAACAGAAACATTTTCATCGATATTATACTTTTAAGGATTTTTTATTATTAACAATAACTACTTACACAGCGTCCAATAGCTTCCATTATCACAAATAGTTACTCTGAAAGCGACTCTGAATTCTACATAAAAACTTATACAAAGAACAGTGAGTAACTAGTCACTGTAGAAAAATCTATGAAATCGCTCCTCAATAAACTCGAGATCTTGGTAACGGTAGGTAGGTAGATGCAGAAGAATATGTGGAAAGAACTGGGGTTTAAACCCAAAAATGCCACTTTGGTTGTATCTAGCAGTAGTGAGACCAATGTTAGCGTATGGGGCGATTGTTTGGTGGACAAGAACCATGTAGGGGGAGGCGAAAAGGCTTCTGAGTAGCGTGCAAAACTAGCGACTCTGTGCGCTACGGGGGCCATGAGCACAACGCCCACTGCAGGAGGTTGGAGGTTCTACTGAACATCCCACCAATACAGATCTATATACAAGGGGAAGCAAGATCTGCAGTATATAGATTACTGCAAGGCCAGTCCCCAATAATTGGTGGACATACCACAAAACATAACAAGCTTTACTTGGAGGTAAGGGCGGACAATGTCCTAGGATTGCCTACGGACGGCACAACACCTAAGTATTGCTTCGTTAACCACTACAGGACTCAAATCCCTGCCAGAGAAGATTGGGAAAACGGGCCACCAATCAAGGCAGAAATAACCTGGTATGCTGTTGGCTTAAAAACTCAAGAAGGAGTAGGAGCCGGAATATATGAACCCAGGACGAAAAGGAAAATCTCTATTCCAATGGGTAAGCTAGCAACAGTGTTCCAAGCAGAGATCACTGCACTAGAATACTGTGCAAGAGAAATAAAGCGAGCGTAACAAATCAATTGCAATTTACACCGATAGTCAAGCGGCTATAAAGGCCCTGCAATCTAATAAAATAACATCCAAGTTAGTTCTGGACTGCCATAAGGCGTTAAACGAGATAGCAAGTCAGAACAAAGTTACTCTATCATGTGTACCGGGGCACGGGCTGCATAAAGGTAATGAAGGCGCAGACGACGCAGCCCGCGAAGGGTCGTCAATGCGCCTGATTGGACCAGAACCCTTTTGTGGGGTGGCCAAACCCGTTGCAAAAACAGCCATCAGGGTTGGATGGACCGAGAATCCCGACGATGGTGGAGGGACATGCCGGGGCAAAGACAGGCCAAGGAATTCCTAAGGGACCCATCGGCCAATTTTACAACGGACCTACTAAGCTACAATAGAAAAGCCGTAAGAATAATGTTAGGTCTGCTGACGGGCCACTGCAAGCTTAAGAGGCATCTAAGCGTGATGGAAGTGGAAGAAAACACAGAATGTAGATTCTGTCAAGAAGAGGAGGAAACAGCCGCACACGTACGGTGCCACTGCGAAGGCCTAGCGAGAGTGCGTTTCCATCTGCTGGGCGATACCAAACCAGAGGCAGAGAGCTATACGAGGGAGCCATTATCGAAGTTGTGGAGTCTGGTTAGAGAGACGAACCTGGATAAAGACCTATAGCTATGAAGAGAGTCACAATAGATCTTCTGGGTCGCAGTGACGGACAGGCTGACTGCTAGCTCTCCCAACTGTTAATCTAATCTAATCTAACGGTAGGTCCTATGGTCCGCAGTGTACTAGGAGCATAAGATCTTTGAAAATCGCGACGATCGGACATTTGGCAGCCACCTTTTTTTTCTATTTTTGACTGTTTTTTGGACATTGCTTTGAAACACGATAAGTATCCGAAATTTGAAGCTACCGACTTCAAATTTGGCCCACATGGACGGAACCAATTTAAAAAGGGAGGGGGGGGAGTATTTTAAAAAAATTAAAAGCAGCGTTTGCAAGGGTATAAGAAAAATAAAAAAAACGAAAAATTTTTTAAACGAAAAGACGCAGAAGATTCGGCTCCATAAACTTCTATTATATAACTTTAATGATAAATGTTAAATAACTTGTCATATAAATTGTTGTGCGTAACAGAACACTGGAAAACTCAGGAAGAATTTAAAACATTTGTGATAAAATACTTTCACCTAGTAAGTGCCTTTTGTCGAGAACATGGATAATATGGTGGAAGCGCTATTTATGTGCATAAATCTTTGAGGTGTAAACCGAGAAATAACCTAAAAAGTTTTTGAGTGAGCAACAGTAGAGTGCACATTTAAGAAAGATCGGTTAATTTACAATTTACAGACCTCATCAGGAACTATAGACGTCTTCCAATATTGCTTAGAAAAGGTATATTTTTAAAGAAACTAAAAACATTGTTGTAGCGGGGGATTTTAACATAGACAGGCTTAGAGAAAATGAACACAATTTCTTCATTTAACTTTTTGCCTACGGTTTTTGAAAACACAATGGTAACGTCACATACAGCAAACTGTATTGAATTGTGAATACGGAAACACTCTAGTATTTGACGCTTTCATTTCTGATCATACCGCTCAGAAAATTACATTACCTTTAGAGAATTTTAAACAACATACGGCTCATTTTAAAAGAATCTTTTCAGAAAAAATAAGCAAACCTTTATATACTGTCTACAAGAACAAAAGTGGGAGGATGTAATTATGACAGAAACGGATGATGTCAACCAAGTGGAACTCTTTTTCTCTACACTGTTTGATCAATGGTTTCCTAAAAAGACAATAAGAAACGCTAGTGGTGTAAAATCATATAAAGATAATGATGAGATTAGAGAATGTAAACGAAAACTAGATATCTTGTTCGTTTTTTCTAGACAAAGTGCTCGGTATAAACAGGAATACAGAGTTGTTAAGCGAAAATATGATGCATGTGGTCAATATACAATGAGATTTTGGGTAGAAACAGTTTAGGGGCTGACATTGGTATGAGTGGGGATTCTAATCAAGTTGCAAATGATTTTAATGAATATCTGTTGAACGTTGTACCTGAATTATTAGAAAACCTAGAAAAAAGGATTTTTCCCAATAAAATACCCCTAAATTCACAGTCCGTGTTTTTAACACCGGTAACACCAGATGAAATCTGTCATTTTGCTGGACAAATTAAAAAAAAACATAGTAGTGGAATAGACGAGATCCCAACCGGTATAATAAAAATTCCTGTCCCGTATGTTAGTAAAGTGTTCGCGTCTTTTGATAAATGAATCCTTTGAAAATGGCGTTTTCCCAGACCAACTTAAGACTGCTTTAATAAAAGCGCTCTATAAAAACGGAGATCCAGAAATTACAGACCAATCAGCCTTTTGCCCGGGTTTTATAAAATATTTGAGATGGCTGTTTGCAAAAGACTCTTAGAGTTTTTTAATAAATATAAAATGTTCAGCAATCATCAGCATGGTTATGTAGCTAACAAATCAACAGAAACCGCCATATTTCAATTTATAAAAATAATTTTGAAACACTTGGAGGGCGAAGGAATAGCTTTAGGTACGTGCTTAGATCTTTCTAGAGCTTTCTGTATAGACAGGAAGTTATTGCTCAAAAAATTGAATCTATACGGTGTAAGAGGTAATGTTCTAAAATTGTTTGAATTTTTCGGATATTAATGAAAATAGTCTGGGCATAGCACAAGGTAGTATTCTCGGTCCAATTTTATTTATCACTTTTGTGAATGACTTGTTAGTGATAAAGGCAACAATATTTTTACAAGAGCTTATGACTGGTTTCTAGGAAATAAATTGATATTAAAAAAAGAGAAAACGAATTCAATTATGTTTAGTTTTGGTTAGTTAGAAATGAATTATGTAGAGTTGAAATAACATTAGGAATAGAGATAGGTAAAGAAAATATTAGTATTGTAAATAGCACTAAATTCTTAGGTTTACAAATTGACGAATTGCTTGATTGGTCTGAACATATTGATTATCTGCTAAATAAATTAAATTCAATTTGTTAAGAGTAGTTGCGAATTATATGAATAAGGAAAGTTTGAAAATTAAGTACTTTGCAAACTTTCAATCGCGTATGAGGTATGGAATTATCTTTTGGGGAAGGGGGGGGGGGGGGGGGTAGTGGTCAATTACAGAAAATTTTCGCGGTTCAAAAGAGGACTCTTCGCACTGTCAAAAAAATGCAATTTAGAGAGAGCTGTAGAGGGGTGGTCAAGGCTGAAGGTATTTTTACTGTATATGCTTTATATATTTATAAAGCATTAATATGCTTTTTTAAAAATCGAAAGTACTTCGAACTACAGATATTTCATAGATATAATACCAGAACCCTAAATGTAAATTACCCTATGCACCGTTTGACCGTAACTGAAAGGAGTCCTTATTACATGCGCCTGAGATTGTATAATAAAATACCAAGTGAGGTAAAAACAATTGCAAATCTAAAAATCTTTAAATACACAGTAAAAAAGTTATTGATAGAGTTAGAACCTTACTCCATAGAATATTTTTTCTGCAATATTTAAATAATTGTTTAATTAATACGATGTAATTGAAATTTGTAAGAATATCTAGTGCCTTTTCATTTTTTGACGCCGAGTTCCTTTGTGTTTGGTATATTATTTTTAAGTAATGTATTTATGACACAATGTGGAATAAAGTTGATTAGTATTATTATTGTTATTAATTATTGAAGAATGTACAGGGTCGGCGGCGTATTAAAAAAAAAAGGAAATTGGGCCGCCCTATTATTGAATATTCTTTGTAACTGAAAGACTTGTTTCAGAAGTTCGTTTCTTTTAGATGACGATATAGCCTCTACAGACAGCTAAAACTTTTTTTAAGGTTTTCACCTATTGTGGGTATACCCAATATTCCGTGCAATATAAAAAATATATTAAGTGCCCTAAGTTTGCAAATATCGACGTCAAATTTAGTAAAAAAATAAAAGTCTTTTTTTGGTTATTTTGGCTTCCAGATAAAAATGGTTTTCTCCAAAACCATTAACCCGATGGGAAAAATTTTGGAACCGTGAAACGCAGAAGATCTGGGCCTATAACTTTTGTTTCATGCTTTTTTCGATTATATACAGAGTGTTTTAGTTATGGAAAAAAATCTATCAGTCCCTGAAAATTGTTCTTTTTGGGAATAAATTATTAACCGTAAATCAAAATTTGTAAAAAATATGGCTAATCGGTGTTATAGACGGCATCAAGGGCTACAATTTTTGTACTTACGGTTTTCACCTAAAGCACATGCTTCTCGAGATATTTGAAGAAATCCACGCGACAGTCGTTGTATCTCGCACTCAATCTAGACGCGATGACGTGATTTACTATGTTTTCTCGAAAACCATTATAGGCAAAAAATCAAAAAGACCCTGCAAATTGCCGTGTTAAAAATGAAAAAGTCTGGGAAAATTCCATGACGAACGATGTATTAAAAGAACTGCTGCACTACTAAGTGTTACTATCTTTAAAGATAAGTGAGGTACCCCAATAAAGTAACGAGTCTGTATAACCTGTATACCTTCGGATTTTTCCCTATGTCCCGTATACAAAATCCGAGCGACATCAAAACCCTTCAATCGTTTGGCGATAGCCTGGCCAATACCGCCAAGTCCCACAATACCAACCGTCGATCCTTCTAAATCAGTACCAAGCATCCATTGGGTATTATTGGTGTCGGCGCCCCAAGTCCCTCTAGTAATAGGCTTCAATCAGATCTACTATACTGCCATAAGTATCCCGTAATACCTTTCGATGTGAAACCGTCCTTCGGTTAACCTTCTGGAAGTCCCTAATGCCAACAGCATCGCGATATCTGCCACGGCATTACTTAAAACGCCGGGCGTGTTGGATAATTTTATTCCTCGTTTCTTCAGTTCTTTTAAATCTACGTGATTGTATCCGGCCGACATGGAAGCGATTAATTTCAGTTGAGCTCCTGGAACGGTATCCATTTAAACTTTTAAGTGTTTGTTTGGCAGCGGAATAATAAACCTACCCGCTTTTTCAATTATCTCGTTGTCCAATTTCACATGGGTCGCCCAAAATATAGCTTCGACGCCTTCAACCAAGTTTAGAATTGAATTTTTCTCGTCACTCGGCGAGACTATTAAATCGCATCTAAAATTGTTGAAATCAGGAATTAAAATAAATCTTTTTCGCAAACAAATGTGGTAATTTAGTGCGGACCGTCCTTTGTAATTAGTTAGGCCAAATGAGTTGTAATTAGAGGTTATTCGTGGAAGTACAGTGGTAATGATTAGTCATTACTGGAACTTTATTCGTAATTTAATAATTTTATAAGTCACAATAGCATAGGAGCTGTGTTCAAAAAGCAAGTTGAATTTTAAGTTTTATCAAAAAGTATTTAATTGTTTATCAAAATTAATGTTGCTTCCTTCAAAGTAATCCCCCCCCCCCCCTCTTGTGCCAACGTTTTTTTCCAATCCTCGAAGCACTTCTGGTAAGCACTTTCTTGTATAACCTTGAGTTCTTCCAGGGATTTTTTTTATCTCCTCAATCGTTCCAAATCTAATTTCTTTCAAGGGTTTCTGGAGTTTTGGGAACAGGAAAAAGTCCCAGAGGGCCACATTCGGTGAATATGGTTGCTGAGGCATAATTATGGTTCTGTTTTTGGACAAAAAGTTAGACACAAGCAACGATAATACTCTCTAATGACCGTAGGACTTGTAAATAGTCAGTAGAACCTTGACATATCTCCGAAAATATCCGATTGCTCACAAGCCCGTGCGGTAACATCCCGGAAACGTCCGAAGTGGCTTGGATCCGTGGGAAATGAAACTGATCTGGTAAAATGACACTTTCCGCACGTATAATTAAAATACGTGCCTATTCAAAGTACGTAGCAAACTTTTAGAATAGAAATAATTAGGTGAAAATTAGGTATGGTAAAGCTCAATAAAATTTATATTTTTTTCTGTAGTGTGTACGTTTGTGATATTTTGTTTTAAAGTTTACTGTAGCAGCTATCGAAACCTCACCAGTAGTTGTAATATAAAATTGACACCGTGTGAGTGTTTATTATCATTCCTAACTCATGGATTATCTTCAAGACATAAAATTACTTGAATATTGGTTTCAAATTCGCCTTTTTATATAATATAGAAAATAAATTAAGATACACTTGTATAGAAAAATAGAAAACCTAGAGTGCGACGCCTAGACTTACTTTTCCTTTAGCAATTCCAATGCAGCTGCTGGGACAGAAGGGTTTGATATTAAAACTTTGGGTCGCGTCATGTTGATAGGAGCTTCAGCTTGGGTTGCGCTCACGAATAAACTAAATAAAATTATCCCGCTGCCTGGAATATTAAAATGGGTAAACACTTCTTAATAAATCTTAACTAAATTGACGTTCTTCAGGTAATACGGTTATTTTAGATTAAAAATTAATTTTAAGCTTCCAGAACAAAACATTATCATGCTGTTTAGCTAGCAATAAAGTATCCACAGGAATATAATCTTAATTTCGAACTAACTCTAACTAACATTTTGATTATTTAAGTTTGATGCGGTTTGCAGTTTTTCTATAGATGAGTACAGCATTCAAAAATGACTCAATATTTAATTTGTATTTGTTATTAAACCCCGCCTCCCAACTTTGCAAGAGGGTAATTTAGAGAGAGTGCTTTCTGCACCACTTGCGATGCCGCATTATTAAGGAATTACAAAGACTTTCTTTGTAAATTAGGTACATTTTGCGAGAATACTTTTATTTATTTTTATATCTGGTTCTATAGGAATTCCTTTATTTTTATTTTATACGTTTAAGTAAAATTCAAAGAAATCAGAAGAAAATTTAATATACCAGTTTTATTAGGTATTGCGAATAAAATTTGGGAGACAGAAATTTGTCTGTAACCCAAAAAAAATTAAGTACCCTGAAAATGTTGACGTTTTATTGATCAATCAAATTTAATATTCTCTTCTGGCTTTGAGACCGCGCGTTCAAATTATTGTGAATTTCTTTAGTTGCCTGATGATCGTCTACTACCGTCTACGTTCATTAAATCATACTAAATGGTTACTTACGGATCATTGTTATGTTTATACCAATTAAAACAATCACCAAATTGGCTACATGAATTTGTTATAAACGATACAACTTTCAGCTTACGATTGCATTTCATAAATCTGATATTAACCGGCAACAGCTGAAGTCCAGTTACCGCTATCCCACCTCAAGAATCTGATTAACAGCGGTGGAGGTGAACAGATTTATACTTTTATAAACCGGTAAACGACCGCAATATTGCACGCATATAAAGAAATATTGAAGTTTCAGGAAGTTAGAGACCGCCAGGTATTGTTATTATCTCGTTTTTCGATTTTAATTTTTTTTTTGTAATTTAACTTCTTTATCATGATTTAACTTTTGTTTTAGAACTGAAAACAAATCTGTATTAGTTTTTAAGTTTGCCCTTGCCCTCATAATCTCTTTATTTTGTACGTTGTCTTTTATACGTTCACTAAGTCACGTGCGACCGTCAAAATAGACAAATGTCGAAATACAGAATTGGGTAGTATAGAGCAATGAGTAGAAAAATATAGTTTTCGAATTTTTCAGAGTAAACTAATACTAACATAATAGGCGGTTTATCAGAAACATAAGAATAAAATTTCTTAAAATTTCTAAGAAGATTTTACTTAAATTTGGGTGAGCCTTTTGCTATAATAATAATAATAATAACAATAAAATCTCATACTTTAATTGCAATTACTAGATCAATCATTAATCTATTTTGATAATTTTTATTCTCTCTCGTTTTTCATGTTTAACTTTTACGGGGCACGCCAATGATTAACCAAGGCAAGCATGGGCAAATATAGGCGATCGGGCATTTTAAGCTTGTGTTTCGAATTATTTCAGTTAACAGACAACAAAACAAGATATCCAATTTGATACAATAAACTTTTATTCAAGGTCAAATGTCTCAATTAAACAGTCCTAGCAAAACAAAATTACAACGGTACAGGTGTAAACATTTCTTCTCCACCAAGTACTCGGAGGATGTTCAACGCCGCCAGTTCGCTCATGGCGTTTCGAGTACTTACTGTAGCACTTCCAAGATGAGGCAGCAACACTGCAAATGTAGACACCAAGTTGTAACTATTAATCCAGTTTATTCCCAAAGTGACCAAATCGATCGTATTTGTTTGTATATTCGAAAAATGTTGTAGAATTTCGGCTTACCGACGTTAGGTAAACTTAGCAATTCGTTGTCGGGCGGAAGAGGTTCTGGAACCATAACATCCAAGCCCGCAGCAAATATTTGTCCCTCTTTCAGAGCGTTGATCAATGCCTCTTGGTCAACCAACTGACCGCGGCTGATATTGACTAAAATGCTAGTTCTCTTCATTTTGGAGAAGAAATCCGCGTTGCACATGTGCTCAGTTTCTTTCGTGAGCGGCGCCGCCACGATTACGAAATCACTTTCTTTGGCCAGGGTATCCAGATTAACAAACCGGGCGCCAAGTTCTTTACCTAACAACGTACAGATAATTCAGGGACCCCCAAAGGAACAAGAAAGCGAAATTGGCACAAAATTGTCAAAAGATGGTTTCCAATGATTAAACAAGTTCGGAAAAGACATCTTGGAAAATAACATTTGGAGGAATAGAGAGGAATGTTAATTAGAAACCGAAAGGAAATTTTGATGTTATGTTTGTTATGTTAAAAAGCATTGGGATCAACGCTAAGCTATAGATCTATCAGTAGCATATTATACCTTCAGGTTTTTCTCGATGCCCAGTGTACAAAATTCTAGCGATCCCAAAACCTAACAATCTCTTGGCAATTGCCTGACCGATTCCGCCAAACCCAATGATCCCGATGGTAGACCCAGCAATATCTTGTCCAAGCATCCATTGAAAGTTGTTCCCATTATTGGCCCAAGTTCCTCTACAATTACGGAAGAACTTAATAATCGAAATAGATAAAAATATGGAAAATTAAATGAATTCCACTCACTTTTCTATATGAAATCGTCCTTCGGTCAAACGTCTAGAGGCGGCCAGAGCCAGAAGTACGGCAATGTCTGCCACGGCATTGCTTAATACATCAGGTGTATTTCCGAATTTTATACCTCGCCTTTTTAGTTCGCCTGTGTCCACGTGGTTGTATCCTGACGAGGATGTCGCGACTACTTTCAGTTGCGGCCCTGTTCGACCACAACCAGATTGAATCCAAATAATTACTAACGCTGTGACAATTCAGTCTGCTCGCATTAATGCTAAAGCATTTAACTATCTGCTGCATTTAAATTAGGTGATAATAAAAAATAATGCAGTGGTGGGAGTTATCCCCGTACAATTGTCTATTAGGGAAGTTGAGAATAAGTATATTGATAAATATCACTTTAGTCAAAAGTTTGATCTGACAGGAGCGGACCAAGTATTTAATAAACGAGGGACTGAATAAGTTGATCAACTTGGTACATACTACAATTCTACGACCATTAGCTTTTGGGTACAGGGTGGCCCCTACAAGAGAGGCTATATCTTATCTCGAAACCTTCGAGGGTTACAAAAAATAAATAAATACAAAAATTGTTTCTATTAAAATGACTTTTATTTTTTTTATTTTCCTAATAGTCACTTTTTTATATACAGAACACCCTACATTTTATTGGATTTTTGAATAGTCCTTTCAAAGACAAATTCAACGATATATGTGAGTATGCGTCTGTGATGCACCGTTTCGAACTTATTACCGATCATCTTCCGAATTTGAGTTATGTTTAAACCATCGTTGTTGGGTTGATTATTAACTTTTTAAACTTTTCTTTTCTTTAGGTAATGATCAAATTTAAAATATTGTAACTTTGTTTTACCATCCTGTATATAAAAAAGTGACGATTAGAAAAAAAAAGAACAAGGTCATTTTAATAGAAACAACTTTTCTATTTCAATTTTTTCTGTAACCACCGTAGGTTCCAAGATAAGGTGTAGACCCCTTTTAAACGGGCCACCCGGTACATATTTTTGCAAAACAACCTTAATAAATTCAAGAAATGACGTGTAATGTAACCATCAAAACTGATATAAAACGTCAAAATACCATCAGTAGCTACTACCAAAAACATCCGCCCTTTGAAAACTTATGGACCAAGTACCAGAAATATCCAAAGTAGAATGGACACTTTGCGAACATTTGATCAGTGCATAATTCGGTAGTTTAGAGTAGGAAGAAGAAAAAACGACTAAGTTTTTTTACCTCTTTTTACTTTATCAAAAGAATAGCCTTAAAATAAATGGTGCACTTATCGCAAGGTAGGTCGTTAGCACTTTTCAGCTCTATATTTAATAATGTTTTCAAAATGCTTAAACATCACTCTTTTTAATGCAACGGCAAATGATTTCAAATTTGTTCTTTTATTTTGGAAAAATTAATGGCACATTTAATTATGTTTTTTTTTGTATAATAAAATATTACAAAAAGCACAAAAAGTAAGAAGGAAACTTATACCCAACTCCGTTGCTCTCGCCGTTCAATAAAATTATAGAAAAATCTGCAGTTGGCTGCAAAACTACGTGATTTGATTCCAATGAAATCTTTTATCCCGTATTGTTTTATTGGTTGCCTACCATATTGGGTACTACTGCCTCAACATAATTTTAATTTTAATACGTTAAAAATGTTTATAGAAAATATTAAATATAGAAAACATTTCTTATACCATAAAGAAAGCTACATAAGTTAAGACGCAATCGAATGAAAATGGTTCGTAAAGCCTATCCACCGATCATAATACCTATAGAAAGCTATTATCCCTGAAATCGGTATTACCTGCGGCATCCAATATATCCTGATCTAACCTCAGTGAGTTGCACCATAATATGGCGTCTACGCCTGGAACCGCTTCAAGGATAGAAGGTTTATCTCCAGACTTTGCAGTAACGACGTCACATCTTAATTAACGAAAACAATAATAACACATTGCCGGTTTGGTTGTACAATTCCCGACTTACGTGACTTTTAGCAAATCAAACGCCACTGATGGAATAGTAGGGTTTGAAAGCAGTACTTTTGGTCGGCTCATGTCGATGAGTTTTGTACTAGCTTTCAAAAATCTAAAAATTGACGGACCTATTTTACCAAAAGAAAACAAAACAAGCTCTTTATCTTGCCAACACTATAAATTTTTGTATTTCTGACCCGGTTGATAGAAACGTAAATGTTACCGTAGTACTGACAATTACAATGCAATTGGTAATCCGAAAATAATTGCGGTAAAGCTGTCGCTCTGTGTGATACCAGATCATACAGATAAAACGTTAAATGAAAGTATTCTTGCTTATCTTAAGAGCAATTTTACAGGTAACTATTGCAACAAAGCGAAAAAAACCGGCGCCATTTAGGTACATTACATAAATTCCAAGAGTTTTCAAAAAGAGGAGACAAAATATATTTGAAATTTCAGTAGATTTATGCTTTTAAGTTTTCAAGACCGCTGCATGTGATTTTTGATTACCTACTAAACATGATGAATTTCTTCTGCTTCTCCTAACTAACTAAGTTTCCTGTTAAATTGCTGGGGAATGTTACTACATTAATTCATAGATGGCGCCACAAGTGTAAGAAGCCCAATTTACAAATTCAATTTTAATTCTTGTTGTCCAATTGTTATATTAATGACATTATTATTACATAGGATAATTAAAGTATTGTACAAATATAGCAACAAAATTTATAAACAAAAACGAAATTATTAATTGCACTTTATACAAAGTAAGCACTACCAAAAAAGCAAAAACCTTTAATAAACAAAACATATCATGTTACACACATGAAAATTAAATAATTTGAATTGAATAGGAAACCTTATCAAACCTGTCCCACCAAAACGACTACAACTAGTAGTAACCTTTGCCCAAATTCAATTTTTGAATGGAATTTATTTCCATCCCCTTCAAAATTCCATACCACTAACATCTCATAAAGGTGCTCCAAACTTGCCCTGATATTTGGATTGGTCCATATTAGAATAACCAGCTAATCTGCCGAGCCAAACTTATTAGGTTTTTGAAAACTAACGGCTATAAGTGAACCTAATGCTTGTTCGTTAATTATCGTATGCAATAATTTGCTAGTGAATTTTTTCCAGTGCGGTGACAGCATTTGTCCGATGGAATCTTGTACCATATATTCAATAATATTATATTATATATGCCAAAGGTAACAACTGACCTGACCAATGGTTGATAAAAAATATTATGTCAGATTTTAAATTAGTTTAAATCCTTTTACCAACAAAGCCCGGTTCTCACCTGACCAATATGCGATACAGCGATATAAACTTTGAGCAATTAAGCTAGCTGTTACTTGTTTTTTCACGTTCGTGCAATAAAAACAAATTGCAGCTGCTTATCGAACTTGCAAAATAATCGCAAAAACAGAAAAATTCTAGAAGCAGCTCCATTATGCAAAGTAACAACATGTCTTTGTTCTGGTGACATTTCTGCAACGCAATAAAAATTCCATCAGCTGATTATCTATGCGCATGTCTGAAATAAAAATTACAGCAATTTTATGAAAAAGTTTCTTTGTATATTTAAAGAAACATTCTTTTTATATTTACTTTTAAAAACTAAAACACTGCGTAAAATTTTGAAGCAACAATTGAAGTAACAATGCTAAGTGATTTATATCAGTGAACTTCTTTAAATAAATTTTAAATATTAATGAAAATTAATACAGCGCTCCATTAAAAATAAGAAATTCAATCTTATAAGGGACGACAGAATGAAAACTCTGCATATGTTTTATTTAAACTTTATTTTTACATGATAGAACGATTTTATGTTCAGTGGCCAGGATTTTTTTTACCGGTTACCAGTAAGTAAATTTCTTATTGTTCCAGAACGCAAATTGTAAGTAGAAATTCAAAAATTTTATATCTTTTCTTGCACACACTCAGCGCTAGTAAACAAACCATGCACTATAGCTACACACCCGTCTCGCTTGAATAAAATCATTTTTGATATTTTTAAAGAAATATTTATTTCTAATAATGACGAGAATAATCACAAAACGTTATAACCAGCGCGCTCGTTAAGAGCTGCTGATCTCAGTATTCTCCCTCAACAATGGGAATCGTTGCTTCTCTCTTCAACCTTCGATCGGGGAAAGGTTCACAGGATGTTTTCTTCTAATTGAATGTCAATAAATAGTGGAGCGATTTTACCTCCCTGTATCTCAAAATTGTTTTGGACATACATTCATATGAAGTTTTCTTTTTAATATGGACCCAAAAATCGCCCCCTAAATTATTGACATTCCATTAGAAAACACCCTGTATATATACCGTTGAAGCGACATTTTTTTTCAAAGGACCTTACTGCGTTTTTGACACCTAGTATATTATTTTGAACTAAGAGATCGAATTAAACTTATTAACATATCTCTCTTTCTTAGCTTTAGGTTGGCGAACGAACTATATACTGAAAATCCGACAATTTTTCATAACAAAATAGTAACCCCGGGGAGTTTTCTGGCAAGATAGGTCAATATTATTGACATTTGAGAATTTTTAACTCAACAACATATATCTTGCACTGTAAAATTCTTCTTATTCGATGTTTTATCTTAAATGTCTTAAAAGTGGGACATTCAAATGAAAAACGGGAAAGACACTGTTTTTTTATAATATACGTAAAATTTGAATTTTTTCAAAACACAAATATTCTATTTTTGGTATAATTGTTTACAATAAATTTAAGGATTTTGTTTATTACATAATTTTAGTTTACCAGGTTAAATATACCGATAGACAAAATTAATATATTAAAGCATGGTGTAACTAAAATTATAATTGTTTCCAAAATTATAATTAGTAGAACATTAAAATTTAATTGAAAACAGTTCTCATAATATAAAAATTTAGAAATTGATTTTTGAAATTTCTTTTTTTTTTTCAAAAATCGAGGAAAAAACTTCAGTTCTCTTTTGGGCGCTATAACTGACACAAAAATGTCATTGTCCCTGTTTTTGTTTTTTCTAAGTACCGTCGCTTCGACAGTGTTAAAGGGAGGAACAAGTTACTAACTGAGAAACATTTCTTCAATTTTGCTGCTGCCCAACACCTCATATTACCCATGACGGGCGGTTTATAAGCTGTCCTCACACGTCCGGCACTTTCATACACCTTTTCTTAAATTTTGCAAATATTTAGCATCAGTCATACCCATCGTGTCAGCGAAATTGGAAGTCCTGGAATCTGAATTATGTTGTATCACGCCATTCTTTGAATCAATCGCGTGTGAAATATCAATATCATCTTTGTCTAAATGATTTTGGACAACGACCAACGCAACCAATATTTTCGGTAAACTTCAGGTGCACTTCTTTTGTCTCATTGAAACAACTGCCGGCGGACCCATGCACCTTCCCAATTTTCGGCCCGCCTGATGTTCCGCTTCCTTAAATTAACCCATCGTCAGACATCGTTTCGTGTTTGTTTCCACCTGTGCGGTGTCTTCGTTGCACATGGCTGCCGGGCCATATCTCGAAAATTCCCGGTTGCCGATAAAACGGAACGTAATAACGATCAAATCCAATGGGTAGTTTGGGGCAGGTTGCATTTGCGGCGTAGAAACTACCTTAACGGCGGCGCGGATGTTTTGGTGGTGGATCATCGCAGAGGGATTGATTGGAGAATGTCGCCGTTAGCATTATGTTCCAGTTTATTTCATTTTTTTTTTAGTTGTCGATCATACGTTTAGTTTATTAAGTTTGCAAGACTAGAAGATCCCTCCTATGAAATAATTTTTAAAATATTTTTGTATTGTCGCAATTTTATGAAACACTCTGTATAATTGCTTATTACTTTATGCAACATCCGATTAAAACATTTTTGCAAAATGGTGTTAAATAGGAGCGGCGTTAAGATGTCTTGCCCCAATTTAAAAAAAAAGTTGAATTGAATAATATAGTGTGTTAGAGAGAATACTTTGTCTGGGTTTTGCAGTATTTTGGATTCTTGATATTGTATTTATAATCGAATCGGCTTGCGTTTTAAAGAAAAAAAAACAAAATATTTGTCAACGTAGCCCCTGAGGTTATATTACTCTTGAAACTGAACATGTTTTAAACTATAAAAAAGCATATTTTTGAAAAATTCGGAATGATCAATATCAATTAAAATTCTAATCAATTTCAAAGTTAATTTTCGTGCGAACTACTGACTCGATTTGGATACATATATTTTTTTGAATTGTAATTTAAATCTTCACATTCATTTTTATTTAATTAATGTTTTAGGAATGCACAGAGTGTTTAAAGAAAAACCAGTTTCATACTCAAGATTTGTCACATTCTGTGGGAATTTCCGTCAACACTATTAGGTGTCTATCCAAGACACTACACAGAACCTTCTTTTCTCAACATTTTTTGATTTTACTGTCGCAAATCAACAACATTAAACAACTGAAAATTCAGTATCGGGTGTTTCCTGCCCCACTCCTTATAACCGATTGACATTGACATTGTCTTGATATCGATTACTGCATTTCTAAGGTTTTCTAAACTTTTTGTAAGGTATGGAATACGTGGAAGCCAGTCCAAACTCTGATTTAAATAATCAGCATTAACAAACTACTGAGAAACTTATTCGTTGGACATTAAATTCCGTCTTTCATATAACAACAGGAGATAAAGACGTAAAAAAAAAGAAACAAAAAACTTAGAAAAGGTGGGGGCGGGGGGCTATACATTGACTTAGAGAAAAACCTAATAGTTTGGTAAGGAATTCCCATTGAATATGACAAACATTGAGTGTTTTTATATTGCATTCGCATAGCTTAAATTGAACTAAAAATGTAAAAAAATAAATGAACAAAATATTTTCAACAAAATAAAAAATAATATTCATAATATCTGGCACCGTTGAACTAAGTTAAAATAAATGACACGAATATAAATAACCATATTCCCATTACTTACAAGGATAAAATTCGTTTTTCGATCCTAGCTTACAGAATCACAGATCCTTAATTAGTGTCTTTTCCTATTGGGTAAGCATGGCGGCATGACCCACACGACCTCCGTGCCTCTATTTTAAAGAGTTTTCCAAAGATATTTCCAGCGTTTGTACTTGTGTACTTTAACAGCTAGCACTGCATCAACTAAATCTTGTTTCTTATAGTTTTATAGGGCCTTGATCAAACCAGAGCGTGCTAAATTACATAGCGCCTTGTAGCTATAGGATTGTGCATGCATTGGATTTTTTTTGCGAAGAAAACA